AGTTTAAAGTACACAATTCTAGTACTAATGAATGGCGCTAAAGAAAAGTTAAAAATGTGCTCTGTCTCAGGTTCTAAAAGGCAAAAATTCTACATTTTTTGTCTTCGCAATCGAATATAAAATCAAATTTATGAATCATTATTATCTATGTGTGGTGTATGTACAGAGCCTATGGGTACAGGCTACTTTTGAGTGATCGAACGTTGCTTTGAGCTGCAAGCACAAGGGGAACGCATTTTGTTTGTGATGCACATATTATTGGTGGTGTTACAACACTTTTGCCGTAGGGCACAAGTTGAAGCATGGCAGAAAGAAATATTGCTTTCCGAATAAGATATGCTTGTACCCTATTTCTCCAGGTTGTATGCTGGTCATCAAGCAGACGTCTCCCGTCATTCGGCTTTTATACGAGAAGCTTGCGGTCTGCGGTAAATAACTTTTGTTAAAAAAGTTTGTCTAACAGTGCTGATCTGCTTTACTTGTTCCCTAGGTTTATTGCGGTTACCTGTTCCTGAATGGGAATAGAATCATTTCTGTGATTATTTCGATTTAGTGATTCTGTCATGTAACCATAATTATAAATCTAGCCAACTGCTGCGTGTATCTCAATTATCTTCTTTTCTTCTTTTCTTAGAACAGCTATGTTCATACAGTACAGCGGTGTTAACCTGACGGTGACAAGGTACAAGCGAATTTTACGGAAAATGCTGACTGTTCCTCAGTCCAAATATTTGGTAGATTACTAAAAGCGCTAGATGGCAGTGCTATTCTTCTGCTTAATTCTGACTGGATAATCCATTGTTGTGCATTACTGATCCGCAGCATGTTTCACTCATATTCGATACTGAGCAAACTTCTCAGATCTAAGTGTCCTGCACAAACGTCGGATATTCAGAAGCGCGGAATTCAGCGACGGATATATGTGGAACAAAGTTTCTAAATTAAGAGTTGGGAAAGAAAATACAATCCACAGGCGTATGAAGGTAACATCGAAAAGTTGACAAGCCGTTTCTTCCTAAAATCAAGAGATAACAATAACCACTGCTTCAAAGTTAAAGGTGTATTCATGATCCAAGTCTATACTTTTGCTCTATTCATTCCTCATTTACGGTCTACAGTTTGTGCTGATTTGCAGGTGGCTATAAGATACATGTTGATAAGCAGCACCATTTTTTTTTACCTTCCTCTCGTAAGGAACTCTAGCGTTAACCTTTAAAGAACTATTGCTTGCAATATAAGCTAATTGTCGTTTGAATCAGTTGCACAGCATCCTTCAAGTTTGATGAGGAGAGCAATTTCGTTTTTGTCGTTAAGGCAATCCACTGGACAAAGGAAGTCTAGTAAGGGGCAAATCACAATAGAAGGTAATATTTTGCTGGTTGAACGGGTTGATGACCAGCTGCGATGAAAATCCCTGGGAAGAATGTTTCTTACTCGAGTACGTATTGTCAAAAGCATAATTTGTGAGTTCTAAATAGAATATGCTCCAGTAGCTGTGCAAAATGAGATTTCTGCAAAATCATAATTTTGTACCGTAGTACGGTTCGTAGTGTCCTTCCTTTGTTCTCCCCGATTTCGACAGAGTTTCAAGGTATTCGTTTTAAACTACCGTTTTAACGTTTCATTGATAAATGACATGTTTGCCATAAACGAAGTAATTATAACATGAATGTTCGAAGTGAACGAGGGACTGGGTTTGAACTACTTATCGTAAAATGTTTGTTTTGTTACGCTAGGAAAGCATTTTTCATTCATCTGTTCACTGCAGATAGATGAACATATATTAGACGTAAAATGCCATCAAGATCTTTGAGTCATTCAAGACAAGCCTGAGGTTCATTTTTGCACAGAAACGGTGTCGAAGCTCTGGTGGAAGGATAAATACACTTCATGCTTATAAACAGTGTAAGACTGAGTTCATTATTAATATTGTGGGAAACATTTTCGTTCTTTTGAAAGCATTTCAATCAAACTTTTTTCCACCTTCCTTTCTGGCGAGTCAAAAGAAAAAGAAAATTTAGTTTTCACATTGTCTTGAACTCCTGATAGATGAAAGGATTTGGTCCAGAATAATTTGGCAGGAAAGGTGAGGTTTCTTTTAAGAATGAAAAAAAGAGTGATAATCCCACTAACAAAAGAGCGAGTGTCGACTTAGCATAACTTGGAACCACTTTCGTAGTACATTCACGCGTTATGGTCTCCCGTAAGCTGAAGTTACAAGCTGAAGCCTGCTAATCCGAGTTACGCCACGGCTCGCCAACAAACAGGTTTCTTAAAGTCATTATAAAGAAAATATTTTAGTCAAGAAATGGAAACGTGCGTGGAACATTGATTAAACAAGCTTCGAGAAGAATTTCATTGATCGATCTTGCCATAGGCTATGGGATCAATTCGATACAACACAATGCATGAATCTTTCTTTGGAAAAAAATACAATCTAATCAACCACAAATTCCTACAATACATGCCGAAGATGTGCAGTAGAACGTTTCGCCTTCTTCATGCATGCCACCGACTACCTTTAGGGACGATTCTGTAGTCAGAAGTTAATTGACCGACCAACGTATATGCCAAGGATACCACTATGCAAATTCGAGCGGCAGAATGTGTTTGCAAGCCCACATGGAAGACTGTCCCTGAGCACCGTGCGAATCATCAGAACGCTCGGTTTTTTTAATGTTTTCATACGTAAAATTTACCCCGTGGGTAAAGCAATCATGGAAAAGCATCCTGTTGCATATAGCCTATGAGCCAAAAAGGATAATAGATATTGAAAATGAATGAAAAAACGGACAAATAGATTTTCTTATATCGCACATCTGAAGGTCTCTGCGACTGTCGTTATTCACATCTAGCAATAGCTAAGGCTACGACTCATTTTCCCTCTCGACGTTTGTTGTATTGCAATATAATGGCTGAATTTCACAACCTAAGGAGAGATGCTGGTTGAAGGATACCATCTTGACCTTCGACGAATGAGTGAAACCCATTAACCATTGTGATCTAACTATCATTGGTCGCGCCACCTGGACCTAAATACAAAAAGCAAAAATATAATGCAGCAAGACATGGAAATTTATTTTAAGGAATACTTTGATTTGCCCATTCGGCGCATTCCAGTCCCGAAGGGTGAGTAATGATCATACTACTGAGAAGTCCGTACTCCTGAGCTGTTGCGGTAGCCGTGCACATTTCTCATGTTCCCATATATGGTCGACTAAGGAGCAAGTGTTCTTTATACCAACTGCACAGGCATATCTAAAACAGTAACACTTTGATTGAAAACTCAAATGGAACGACTTAAAGCCCACTAACCTCATTATGCTCTGTAA